AAATGGTTGGCCAACATCAAGCAACTGAAGCAAAGGAAGACAAAGAGGGATCATTATTAGGCCCTCGCAGCCAACATTCCTAATCCCTTCAAGAGAATCACATGCTTAATAGCAGAAATATCCTTTAAGCTAACACTGTTGCAACCTGCGACCTGTCAATGCCCAATACTTCTACAATAGGTAACACTGGATTCTCACCAACAATATCAATGCCGGTAAACGCCACTAACCTTCAATAGCTTAAAGGGACAACAAAAATATTTGATTTAAATACAAATCTTTCTTTACTTTGGAAGAATTAGAATTAAAAAGTGAGATTGGCTTTGTAAAGACAAATTAAGGTTAAAGACAGAAGATAATTAATCTGTTTGTTGATTTGATTATTTTTGGATTTCCTGCTTAAATCATTTTCTTCAGATAATGTATGAAAATTGAGAAGATATATACTATAGACAGCCAAGATAGCTAAACTAAAATGCTTAATACACCATACATTAAGCAAAGTTGTGCAGCAAAATACATGCAGACCATAAGTTAGTCTCAGCTTTCAAGTTTATTTTCAACACAACGCACACACTAAGAAAAGAAGTTCTAACCCTCAAGGAACGCACACGCATATATATTCAAATTGTTTGGAAAGCTATAGCATCATGGGTAGCAGACTGAATGACTGGTTTAGAAACAAATAAGATTAAAAGATCTCTTTCAATACGGGAAAATGGGTTTAGAAACAAGGCAAATTAAATTGAGTAATTATCGGAAATTCTTTAATTTGTTGAACCTGGATGATAGAGCACAGACACCCATGTCTGAACTAACAGACGATAATTTTTTTGACCAGCAAAGAAGGAATTTTATTGGAACCCCCGTACATTAATGCAGCATAACCCTATTCCAATTACCAAGACAACTGAAAATCCATTCAGGCAATTGATAGAATACTTGGTGTGCATGTGAAAAAGACATTCTATTCTCCCATATCCCATGGTTCCAAAACCCAACAATCAGATTCTCTATTTCTAAGTCTTTAAAGAGATATCAATAAACACAAAAGATGGCTATCAAAACACCACTTTGGCCTCCATCATAGCAAAAGTGTTGCAGAGCGACAACATGCAAAGAATAAGCAATCACTAGCGCCATTGAGTCAGAAAATAGAAGAGAATGGAAAAAAGAACCTCGTCCAAATCAACTAAAGGAGTTGTGGTTCAGATGAAGTGCTGCAGCGTGATAGCAAGTGATTTCCTCTTCGACTTCATCTCTACCTCCACCGCTATTCCTACTTTCTCCTCTGCTGTTGTATACTTTAAATGTTAAAACTGAACACTTGAATCCTTTCCACTGGGGATTCTCTGATCGAAAAATAAAATGAGATCCTTACAAATGACTTCAAACATCAATTCATAATCAAGTTTCAGTGGCATCTCTCAACATCTAATAGTCCAACTCCAGATCTAATACTTCTCAGGACAACTTGCAATAGCTATTGTATATCAACCTTCAATGTCAACCCCAATATTTAAAATACACACATCATCCCTTTTTTGATTTCATTGAAGGAAAGCACAAAGGGGTACTCAAACCCAACGCCACAGTATAAACACTTCAGCAGGCCGCTGCAAAGAAATAATTACAGAATCTAGAGCCACTTAGATACTCATCATGCTCCTCAAAGTGCTCAGCCAAATCAAGTTTAAGAATCCATCAACAAATGTTTCTGTGTCATAGACACTTGTGTCGCCGCCACGTTCATTCCCCTACAGTCACTTGGAAACCCTACCTAAACATATTTAAAATGCCAAAAGTTTTATTTCCAAATTAGAATTCTAACAATTGGGGAAAGAAAAATATAACCGTAGCTTAGGGTACCTCTTTAATTGGATGTGTTTGATCGAACCGTGGAAATGACAATAGCTTCCTTCTTTGAACCTTGGAAACCATCAACAGTTGAGATTTCGACATCCTTATAAAATAGCACTCTCAGCTTCATCTTCACTCAATGTGCCATTTTCTTCATCCTTTTTTTTCTTCCATGTTACATCTGAAGCTTATCAAACGCGAACCTTTTACAAATTTACAAAATAAACTTATATGGAGCAAAATTTCCTAGAATAACTTAGAGACCTCCCTAATCCAGAAGTAAATCAATCAACTTATTAGTTT